GAAAGAAAGAATGCATAGAGCAACAAAAATACCCCAAAACTGGATTGTATGGCCAGCTTTTGCAGGAAGTTCACCTTGGTCCATGGTCACAATCTGAGGTGACTTTTCCCGTCAATGTTGCCTGAACGCAAGGATGTCTGGGATGTGAGAACGAACAACATTTTATTATGTATATTAACGCTGGAGTGGGTTAGCTATCAGCCTCTGCTACGGGGTCGATAGCCTTGTCTTGGACTTTTAAACTCTGAGGCCAGACAATTGACTGTACAGGCTTATTAACGAATGAGGAGCCAGGGTTTGCGAGAATTCTTAAAAATATAAGATTTGCATGCTTATGTTCACCCTTTTTTTCACATCGGAGTGATGCCTTGGTCAAGGGACAATACATAATCAAGCGACAAATAAAAGGTACCATTTTGCACAAGGCTCACTAAGGGCTGGGAAAAGAAAAGGTATATAATTTCCTACTCCGTATTCCGCACAAATGGCCAAAAGCATGCTCCCATGGAGGATGTACGGTTATAAGTGGAATTGGTGGCCAACGAGTGTCCAGCCTTGCATCATGACAAGATCGAATCCTTCATTTAGTGCCAAGCCGAGAAGTCCCGTGACTCTTCTCCGCGGATCCACTTTAAGCCGCCAGCCCTCTTTAGCGCGATTTGGCGTTAGCACGCGGCTAATAAACTAATTAGTCAATCGCGCCTTAGCGCGCTTCACCTTCTCGACGCGAGTTGCAACTTTAATTTCGACGCCTTCAATACGTCTCATCCCACTTACAGATCTCGGGCATTCTGTGTGCCATTATCTCAATCTTGTTATGGCTGCAAACTTCTTCAATAATAAAGCCCGTGCTGCGGCTGCTTCTGCAGCTAAAAGCAACGTAACAAACAACCAAGAGTCCGACCAGCAGGCCCAGCCATGGGTTGAGAAATAGTAGGTCAAATCTACAGCTCAATCTTGCACAGAGACTGATCGGTGTGTGGTGTTTAGTCGACCAAAGACACTCGATGATGTGACAGCTCAAGATCACACGATTTCTATTCTCCAGAGAAACTTACATGCCTCCAACGTAAAACTCCAATACTACTTGTTCAGACTCCTCCATTGATTTCGCAATATTTCTGACCCAATGCATCGCAATTCAGCTTCCGCACATGCTTTTCTATGGATCTCCAGGTACTGGAAAGACGTCAACCATCCTTGCGATGTCCAAATCTCTTTTTGGACCTGCTCTTGTCCGCTCCCGAGTCCTTGAGCTTAACGCTTCTGACGAGCGAGGTATAAACATTGTTCGTGAAAAGATTAAAGATTTTGCTCGAATGCACCTATCCCAACCCCCGGCCGATCCTGCCTATCGCTCACAATATCCGTGTCCACCGTTCAAAATCATCATTCTTGATGAAGCAGATAGCATGACCCATGACGCCCAGTCCGCTCTCCGCAGAACTATGGAGAAATACAGCCGGATTACGCGTTTCTGCCTCGTTTGCAATTATGTCACTCGAATAATTGACCCAGTGGCGAGTAGGTGCAGCAAATTTCGGTTCAAGGTACTAGACGGTTCTGCTGCCCAAAGCCGGCTTGTAGAGATTGCAAGAATGGAGAAACTAGACCTGGAGGATAATGTCGTTGAGACCCTACTTCGGTGCAGTGATGGTGACCTGCGAAAGGCTATAACATTTATGCAGAGCTCTGCAAGGCTAGCTCGCTATGGCTCTGGGAAAAAGAAGGATTCGTCCGATAAAGAGATGGAACTCGATGATGTCAAACCCAGGATTACTGTCAGGAGCATTGAAGAAGTATCTGGACTAGTTCCAGAAACTGTTATGCAACGTGTTGTCGCAGCTCTTCGCCCAAGCAAGCGTGCTTCGAAATACGAAGAAATCTCAAGCCTCGTAGCTGACCTCGTGGCCGACGGATGGAGTGCCTCTCAAGTCCTGTCACAGGTATATCTCTTACTCCCACAACCTTTGAGGAATGTTCTACTGACCTCATTCAAGACATACCAAGCAGTACTTCAAGATGAATCCATTTCAGATGTACAGAAGAACCAAATATTGAAGGTCTGCTCTGAATTTGATAAACGACTAGTAGATGGCGCAGATGAGCACCTCTCAACTCTGGATTTCATGCTACAAATATCCGGCATAATACAATCTACTTAGACGAATCTAATACATTGTTTACTGGTTGTATCATAATTTTATCCGCTCCACTTTCGTTCGCTTGTGTTATACAACTATATCAGTAGAATGCTGCGGCTCAAAATTTATGATTACCTAATCAATCAATTGAAGCTGCCATTTGACTTCACGACTCCAGGAGCACGCGAACGAAGGGCATCACCAAGGCGTATCATCAGCAGTTACAATTTACTTACGTGGAGTTCAAGCTCTTGGTATCAGCATTTAGTTATGAACCGACTACGGATACTCAACCGCTTGGCTTTCTCTAGCTCTCGACCGCTCTCAAGGAGCTATTCTCAAGCTGCTCCAACTCCGCCGCGAAACTGGACTCCAACTCCATTTGTGACCGAGACAGTAGTATGTTACTCATGACCATTGGATATTGGAATAAGAAGCTAATACATTTTTGTTATTCAAAGGGAGGTGGCTGGCACACCTGTATGCGATCTTCCCCGGCTATAAGTTGTTCAAGATCACTAATAACCTAACCACCTGAAGATGACATATTTTCTCGTCTTTTGAAGGTAGGTGTTGGGACCCTTCCGTTATTATCTGCGTAAAATCATTCTGACGGATACATTAGGAGCGCATTGTATGCCTCAATGGCGAGGTGGACGAAACACTATCAGCCGCAATAGTTGCGCAACTATTGTTCCTTGAAGCTGATAACCCAGAGAAACCCATTCAGCTTTATATCAATTCCCCGGGTGGATCGGTGACAGCCGGTATGTCGTATTTACTCCCATTCTCTGTTTCCTGCCCAATAAGCACAATCATAGCTAATAAGTTTTGTTCCAGGCCTAGCCATTTACGATACCATGACATATATCCAATCCCCAGTTAGCACAATATGCGTCGGCCAAGCGGCATCTATGGGCTCCCTTCTACTATGTGGTGGTGAAGCTGGGAAAAGATACTGCCTTCCGCACTCCTCGGTTATGATCCATCAGCCTTCGGGAGGGTACTTCGGTCAGGCGACGGATATCGCAATACACGCAAAAGAGATCCTTCGAGTACGACACCAATTGAATCAGATATACAAACGCCATTTGACGGGGAAGGAAATGACCCTTGAAGAGATAGAGAAGTTAATGGAGAGAGACTATTTTATGGGCGCAAAGGAAGCTCTGGAGATGGGCATTGTGGATTCCATACTCGACAGACGAATGCCTTCAAAGGAAGAGTCAACGTCATCATGAAGCATGGTTCCCTAAGAATGGTGTACGATAGGTAACCCAGAAGATGTCTTGATGATATTTAACGGTGGGTTGTGTATAGGGTTATTACATAGACTTATTCCTCTCAGTCCTACACGCTAAGAATTATACAATTAAGTAAACTTATTCTATCATATATGATAAATGCTAGATATATACAGAGCCGTATACTTATGCTTAGATGCATGCCAGGAAGGGCTCGAATTCCCTTGCAAAAGATATATGGGGAACTTAACTAATTAGGAGCGGGGTTCCGCTTGAATACCCAGCTGACGTCTAATAAATGTGCTTGCAGGGACTCTGGTACCACTTAACGAGGCATGAGGCGGTGCAATCGCTGCTGTTCGGTTCTGCCATTGCTGTCGAAGGGTGCGGCCGATGTTCAAGTTCATAATGAGGGCTTCCCCCGAGTGAAAATAATCGCGCGGATGCATCCCAACGACAGCATTTACACCCCTTTCACCACCAAGATCTGAGAGTTCAATGCCACTTACTTGCCGGTTCCCCATAACATCCTCTTGGTTAGACAAATTTTGAGACGATCTCAGCAAACCCTGCTCTTCGGAATCATGGTCCTGCTCTGGCACCGTCGAAGATGGGATGGTTTCGGCAGTTCGCCTCGATGAAGTCAGCGCGGAGACCTTTTCTTTCTCCAGGATGGCTCCCACCATGAGTATTTGAAGGCATATAACCAATAGGTCCACGGCGAGCAGCTGAAGCTTTGAAGTAGGTCCTTTTTGGCCGACAAAATCAATGAACAGTCCGCCATGAAGGTATCCTCGGGATGCTTCTCCTGCAGATGGATTGGCCGAAGCAATATGTAAGAAGATACAGACTAGGTTACTTATGATAATCGCTCCAATAAATGGCTGATTCTTCGGTGGCTCGGGAAAGTTGGCCGCTTTTGGCGTAAGGAATAGAAACTGAACTATGGCCCGTACAGCGAAATGTATGATAGAACAACTAGTCGGGAAAAAAGAAATTAATTAAATGTTCACTGCTTGATATTTGTCCGCATATAGTACAGGTAACTCACTCCATATAATAGAGAGCCGATAGTTCGCAATAGATAAGCAAGTCGAAATCACGAGTCAGGCGATCGAGAAATAGGGACTTGGACTTTGCGAAAGTAACTCTTCTACTACCGAGATCAGGCTGGCCAGTACCGGAAGCGTTTGATTCAGCATCTTCTGAACCTGGGATGCTAGGTATATTGAGGACGTCTGTGATATACTCGGCATCCGTAATAGGAGCCTGGGTTGTCATAGAGATGTTTCGGGTCAGGGAGGGAAACAGAGGAGGCTAGAGCACAGGCAACCAAAACAAAACCGAGATACTGGAGTATATAACACCCCTCGAGCTCTCCGGGATGTCGCTGCACAATTCATACTATACCATCACAGAAAGCTGCGTTGGTGTTTGCAAGCTTCAAGCGCAAAACGTCAGTTTCATTTGTTTTTGCGGTCTCGCGCATTTGCACTGCTTAGTCAGCTGTTCGCTCAAACTTTGTAGCTACGGGAAAAAGCTGAGACTAACAATTTGATATATATAACATTCGGTAATTCATTGTTGATTTATATACTGCAACCCATCTCAAATGAAGATATGTGTTGAGGTAAGGGGACTGCAAAATGAGGCCCAAACTTCTTTCGTCTCGATTGTCGGCACATGAGCTATCTGTTTCCGGTTATGCAGCGTTTTCAACCAGATGCTCGGGTCTAGAGCATCAAAGGCACCAGCGCCAATTATGCCTCTATACATTCTCACACTTATACCCAAGAGCTCGTCATACAACTGGTTCACTTTCTCAGAGGCAACTGGAAAGACGATATATTAGTACATCCGAAGTCAAGCGCCCGGATGTGGCCACCCCAGGTGGCCTGGTGCAATCACCGGTAGTATTAAGAAGGGCTCAGAAGCAAACATCTTCAGCCTCAAGTAAGGTCATTGAGCGCAGCAAAGAATGGGATACAGACTCCTCCTTGATACGCAACCCTTGGGCCATAGCTCTAGCAAGTCCTCCACGGCTGTGCCATGCAACCATGTCCCGACTTCCCACAGAGCTTATGATAGATTTCGGCCTAGTTCAGCACCCTGAGACATCAGCTTTGTGGTTACTTCCTACGTCGCTGCTAGAGAATGAGCTGAATGAAATGGAGATTGATCCAAACTCCAAAGTCACTGCTGATGACAATAACACTCCAGCAGTTGGTGAGATCCGCATGGACGACAGCACTGCGAAAATGCGCAAACGAAGAGCAGCATTCCCATCCGTCAGAGTTACGAATAGTGGAACACTCTTTGACATGTTGTCAAACCCAAAGTTCTCGAATATTAGCAAAGGGCTGATTCCTCCTTCATGGAAATTGCCGCAGGGGCCACTCACTAAAAGCTCTATGCAAACGCTAGTCTGGAGAGGAGATATGTCCGATTATGCTCTCAAGGCAATGCGAAAGGAGATATTGAGGCGCCTCAAGAAAATACTACATGTTACGCCGAAAATAGAAAAACAGCGAAGGCGAGATACATGGACGCCTCTGAGTATTGCAGGACATCCCATCACTCAGAGTAACTTGGAAAGCTCGCTGAAACAACTGCCGGAATTGAGAGATATACGGAGTGGAATGGTGTTAGTTCTTCGTAGCAGTCATCATTCCACTGAAGTAAACAGTAATCCCGATTGCAATGCCACCTCTTCAACGGGCCCCGAAAACACTACCTTTGACTTGGCTGAGCTTCCGGTGCACGAGTCACAGGTTCCGGTTTTCGATCTTACGAAAATGTTATCCGAAGGTGAACTTCAAGAAATTCGTCAACTTGGGAAAGTATTTCAGGGAGACGCTCTATATTTTATACCTGCATCGAGGAAGTCCGCTTTATTTGCCTTAGACCTCTGGCGTTTAAAGTCGTTCCTTATGGAACGCAACGAGGAAGGATCGTCTTTCCACCGTTGATTGAATTGAACTGATACAACCGTTAGTGCAACTGTACCCTTGTGGGCGAGTGGTTGTCATGTACAATAAATATACCATTGGCATATAGGAGTTTTTGGAGGAATTGAAAGCAGGTCTATTCGGTCTATACAAAGACTAATTCTAAGAGATATATGGTCTATAATATTCTATGCACCTTCCAACAAATCGCCGAGCGCATCAACATATGCGGTGGGGACTACTGACGATGCCATAAGTTCATCCTTTGAGGTAACGCCAGTAAGAACAGCTAGCGTTCCACCAAGGCCACCATCAATACCGAATTTGATATCGGTGTTTATCCGGTCACCAATCATACATGTCTTATTCCTGTCAAGCTTGAATTTGCCCTCGATAGCATCCATCATTGCCTGACTAGGCTTACCCAACGAGAGAGGCTCTGCACCGGGTGCTCCTACACCTCCAAGCATAGCAACAAGAGGTGCGCATATAGAGCCTCCTCCTGGGAACAAAGAGCCAGAGTTTGGAAGGGTGCTGTCGATGTTGGTTGCGAGAAAGACAGCGCCTCGTCGGATATAGTGCAAAGCGGCCGCGAGCTTGAGATAGTTGATATGGAAATCTAGACCAACCAGCACCACCCCGACTTCCGGATCCATGAAGGAAGGGTCACCAGAGGCAATTTTCTGATAGTCTTCCTGTGTAATTTCTCGCCGATATGCCGGGTCCGTCCCTCCGATATAGCTCACGTTTTCGGCAGCGAGTTCTTGTTCTATACCAGAATCTCCAAGAATAAAAACTTTACGCTTATCTTTCGGCAGGTCTAGGATACGCGAGATGTATACGGAAGCGCTATATGAAGAGGAAAAGATTTCTTCCTATACAATGGTCAAATCAGTGTTTGTTGTTTATCCATAGACAGAGGGGCAGTGCATACTATTCCAGCCTTGATTCCCAGACCATCAAGCTTTTTCCTATAGTCTGCTCTCGACTTGGTGCTGTTGTTCGTGACAAAGACTATTCTCTTTCCTAAGAGTCACAACAGTAGTTGAGTTAGAATCTCTGAATGTGAACTCCGAGGGTAGTCTACCTTTGTTCCGAAGCATGTCCAACGTTTCAACGGCTCCTTTGAACGGAGTATCGCCAGACCATAGTACTCCTGTTCGTAATTTAGAGATGTCCGCCAATTTCTGGAATAATATCACGGAGCTCGCCAGTGTAACGAACCATCGCAGTCAAATAGAAAGGTCTATGATATACAGAGATAAGTCCATGTGTAACTACAGCCTTGGGAATTGGATACATACGTCAAACCTATCGACAAACTGCTGGATGCCAGACTTGTCGCCGGTCAGATACTGAAGAGAAGCCATTTCCTCTGTCTATCGGAGGCCAATTGACGACTCCGGATACCCAGTTAAAATCTTGATCGCTTGTCGAGGGCTGAAGCTGAATCCGAGAATCGACGTCGCTTTCCATCCCACCTCCGGAAACTCTATTCTGCGCTTAGACAGCCGACCTTAGTTAGACGCAGCGCCGGCAACGACAACACCTCCGATAGACGACGGCGATGTATGTCCCTTGCTCGTTCGGAATCCTGTGAGACACATTGACAATTGTTGGATACCCCATTGCGCCTGGTATCATCTATCATGGCTCATGTAGCCTACATCCGCTTAACTAACTCGTTAACTGGTTAACCGACGGGCTAACCAGTTAACTATCACGCCGCGACTTTTCGATTCCCTGGATGCCCGTATTTGGGTGCTGTAACAAGTCTATCTGCGCCTTTTCGTTGACAATGGTCTCGGGGGCGAACACAAAATACACAGCTGATTGGAAGAATCCCTCGCTCCCGGCCGCGAAACCTGGCTAAACATCTAGCTAGTCGGTCATCTGTGGAAGATATTCGTCCTTCTACCATTAATTATCTACCCATCTCGAGATTCCATCCAGCTAGTAAGCATCCGATGAGCTCATAGCATGGGACGTGCTATAGGTTACCTTGTTCCCCGACCCGGTCGTGGATACTCTTGAAACGATGGTAACGCTATGTCCCGACGCTATCTGCCGTAGTGTTTTGCGGGGACAAGGCCCATCTCATAAAATCTTTCGGCAAACGCTATGCCACCCCTCTTGACTTCGGCTATCCCCAGATTTAAGATCCTGGTTGCGTGAGACGTAACTTTGAGGACGAAAATCACCTTTTAGAGTAGTTAGTGCAGGTGGTTTACCCAGCTGCAGTATCAAAGTTTGGGTGGGCTATATATTAAACAACATCTGCGTCCGATTCTGGTGACATGGATCCAAAATCATACCTTTCTCTTGTTCTTATCATGAAGTTGTGATATCTTCCTGCCAATAATATCAAACACCAGGCAGCGAGCTGTATTACCCACCAAGTCCAACATGAAAAATCATATGGCAGCAGGATGGTTCTACTCACCAGAGCAGATCCAACGCTATTTCATGACACGAGTGTCCAGTCTCAAGCCCCCAAAGGTGACCCCTGAGTTCTAACCCTTAAATGATACCTACTTTGAAACAATAACGCCTGGCTGATGCTAGCTTTGATAAAGACTGAACTGAAAAACCCTTATCGCATCCTACGCGAGCTGGATAGCCATCAATGGCTTATGTTTGGTGTTGGTTTCATCGCCTGGGTATGGGATGCATTTGATTTCTTCACTGTCTCCCTTACTATAACAGAGATAGCTACTGAATTTGGAGTAACAAATTCGGAAGTATCATGGGCAAGTTGACCCTCATGCGTTTACTATGCTAGAGAATCTGTCTAACATCTATGTTTAGGGGTTGACCGTGACACTCATGCTGCGCTCCGTCGGCGCCATAATCTTTGGCTTATTTGCGGATAGATATGGAAGAAAGTGGCCGATGATTATAAACTTGGCTCTCTTCGTCTTCCTAGAGCTAGGCTCTGGGTTCTGCCACAATTTGACCCAATTTCTAGCTGTCAGGTCTCTATATGGGATTGCTATGGGAGGTAGGTTATATCTGGGCTACATATGTAATTGAACGAGATGTGCTGATTTTGGATTTATCAGGCCTCTTTGGACCTGCTGCTGCGACTGCAATGGAAGACCTACCATATGACGCTCGTGGTATTGCCTCTGGGCTTTTTCAACAGGGTTACGGTACGGGTTATATGCTTGCAGCCATATTCTATCGGGCATTTGTACCAACCACCAAATATGGATGGCGAAGTCTCTTCTGGTTTGGCTCTGCACCCCCAATCCTTATCATCATCTGGAGATGGTGCCTCCCAGAGACCCGCCATTTCCAAGTGATGAAAGCGGAGCGAGAGAGCCGAGTCTTAGCTGAGGAGGCTGCATTGCAACCATCTGGCTCTTCTGACACTGCCCCAAAATCTCGTATGAGTGGACTCCGTGCATTCTGGAAAGAGTCTGCTCCGGGCCTCAAAGAAAACTGGTTTCTGATGGTCTACCTCGTCGTGATCATGACGGGTTTCAACTCTTGCTCTCACGGGAGCCAAGATTTCTACCCAACTTTCCTCAAGGATCAAGTAGGCAAAACGGCAACACAGACGACAGTCATCGTTGTGGCTGGCACCTTAGGCGGCGTTATCGGTGGCACATTGATAGGATGGATCAGCACATTCCTCGGGAGACGGCTCACGATGATGATAAGCTGTGTATTCGGTGCCGCGCTCATTCCAGCATATATATTACCCCGGTCTAATGCCTTGATCGCGTCGTCTTTCTGGCAACAATGGTTCATCGGTGGAGTTTGGGGCCCAATACCTATCTATCTTTCGGAGCTATCCCCTCAATCTTTACGTGGTTTATTGGTTGGATTGACCTATCAACTGGGTAACCTCGCTTCATCCGCATCTGCCACTATTCAAGCTATCATTGGCGAGAGGTTCCCGTTACCTGATGGGCCACATGGGAAGAAGAGATTTGATTACGGAAAAGTCATGGCCATATTCATGGGGGCTGTATGGGTGTTTTTGTTGGTTTTGTTATTCCTAGGACCGGAGATGTCACAGGAAGAAAGGGACGAGGAAGAGGCAGCTGCTAAGGAATTAGAAAGGCTGAGGAGAGAGGGTAAGACCTTGGAGGAGATTGGGAGAGAGCGGGCAGGGCTAGCCAACGTAAAGGTGTTGGAGGATGAAGACGTTAAGGAGCCAACAACTCATCACATGGACGAAGTGCCGGTTGAGAAGGCAGTCTAGGAATGATATGGTGTCGTTTGACTTTGGCGAAGCTACAAGACTAGGAAAGAAGATGACCTGTTTTTTTTTCAGTTTTCTGTTTATATTCAAATCCACCTATTCACACCAGCAGCATCCGACCAGTATGTGAAAGGGGCATATGTGAAAAAGCTATGGACATTTAAATGGTCGTTAAATTTCCTTCCAACGTACTCTATCCCTGGGGAGAATAATTAAACAGCTTAGTCAACCAGGATTTTAGGAGCCAAGGTGGTGTAGTTCTCAAAGAAGCTGGTGAAGAGTCGAGTTGCAAGGGCTACATCCTTCGTTCCACCAGTCTCACGGATACTGTGCATGCTCAGCTGCGGGCTTCCCAAGTCGAGAGTCCTCGATCCAAGGGCTGCCGAAAGCATTGGTCCAATGGTGCTGCCACAGCTGGAGTCATTGCGAACAACCAGCAGTTGCATTGGTACAATGGAGTCTGAGGAGATATCGCTCTTAGCTACAGCGGCACGAGCAACCTCGTGCATCAGAACGATTCCAGGAGAGTTGGTAGCATAACGGGCATTGGCATTGACCTTGATGACCGGCCCTCTGTTGATTTCTGGTTTGTGCTCGCACTCGTACTTGTAGGCGTAATTCGGGTTGACGGCATGAGCCATATCAGCTGAGACGAGGAAGGAGGTCGAGAGGGACTGCTCGTAGGCGGTAGAGAGATCCTCGTCTGACTTAGTCTCAGATACACGAAGCATGGACAGGCGGTGAATGATAGCCGGGAGGATGTTTGAATCCGCGCCCTGAGCGGTTCTGCTGCCAATTTCTTCGTGATCAAACAGAGCAACCAGACGGATAGCAGACTCATTCTCCAAGGCATCTGGCTTGGCAAGAGACTCAATCAGGGCAACAGTTGCACAGAAAGAGGAGTTGAGGTTGTCGAGTCTGGGAGAGAAGATGAACTGGTCCATCATGCCACCGAGGCATGATTTGTGGGTATCATAGAGAAGCATCTCGAAGTCGATGATATCCTCTGGCTTGGCAGAGAGTTCGGAAGCCAGGAGTTCAATCAAGCAAGGGTGGTGACGTTCTGTAATCTTCTTGAACGGAGAGACGGAATCACCAGCTTCTTCCTGTTTAGGGTCCTCGTTTGTCTTGGAGAGTTCCGCAGCTACCATTCCGCAAATTGGCACAAGCTGGGTTTCCTTGTTAAAGGCAAAGGTCTCTGTACGGTCAAGATGAATAGCCAGAGTTGGAATACGTAGGACTACCTCAAACGTTAGTAGAAGTCGGGATGCGTACTGTTTTGACATTTTTACATACTGGGCTTGTCAACGTGGACCAGCTTAGATGCAATGGTGCCATCCTGCTGTCTGACCATCACACGGCCTGCAATGCCGAGATCACGGTCGAACCCTATCAATTTGTTAGTAAATGCGCGCTACTAAAGCTGCTGTTTGAGTAGGAGACTAATGCCTACAGGTGTGCCATATGCCACCACCATAGGGTTCTACAGCTATTTGGAGGAAGCCTTCATTGGTTCGCTTGGAGACCGGCTTGATTCTCAAACATGGGGAATCGGTATGGGCACCGATCATTGCAATAGAGTTTCCAGGCTTGAAGTAGATGTTAGCGCATTCTTTTGTCCTCTTAGTAGATATACGACTCATTTGTCCTTTTTTTATCTTGTTTCTATGGAGGTAATGAAGAAAACTGACCTTCCACATGTTCCCGACAGCAAATGCAATGATGGTCGAGCCATTGCGGGTAACATAGTACTTGCCCCCTGGCTTGCAGACTTCTGACCAGCAGTCTTTCTCCTAGTAACAGCAGTGTCAGACAGAGAGTTGCATGCATTGACAATACTGTTCAGAGGGGCATGAGGGGGAGATCCACCTTGATCTCCTTGAATCCAGCATCGGTAAAGCGTTTAGTAGCAGAAGCGACGGCATGGAATGCTTTGTTCAGATTGTCAGCATGTTCCAATGGGAAAATCAGAGAATGGGCAGTGTCTTACGGGTGGGAGAAGCGTTGACAAAGGACAAAAAGTCCTGTGCCCGCGCCTTTTCGTCAGCGGTGATCATCGTGGCTAGGGTCCGTAAAGACGGGGTACGCAGAGCAACAATCCGACGAGATTTGGTGGATGAGGTAACTGGCAGGCGAAGCAGAGACAGACGGACGCAACGAGCAGCAACACCAGTGTCCAGCAGCGCGAGGGACATCCAGATATCCAATACCAGTCCAGAGAAAAAGGGAGAAGAAGAAGAAGAAGATGTAACAAGCACGGCGTCGCTGTCTGGTTTATATACCAGGCAGGGTATTGGATGGCCGTCCCCTTACTAAGACGTGTTTATCCTTGACGTCGGGTTTCGGCCCTGTTACATAATAAGCTTTTCTCGTCTATCCTCGGCTGACTAAGGCTAAGGATGACTAAGACGATGACACATCCGGGGTATCCCACGTGACCTGTTTTACCCTTTACCCCTCCCGAGATAGGCTTAGCGCCAACTTGCGCGTGACTCTCGCGGGTTTTTGTTTATCCATTTCCCCTTTAGGCAGGGGTTTCCCCTTTGGGACGAGAAGCTTGTTTTGATGTCGAAAGTTCGCTTTGACCAGCGAGGAAGAAAAGAAAGAAAGCAAAATAAATAAATAAAATAACAACAACGCCTGGAACGCAACGGCTCTCTCACCTCCCGCTCCCCAAAGCTCGCCGGCGCCAGTGAAGGGCGGCCCCTGGGTCTTGCGTCTGCCGGTAACTCGAGGAATCGACCAGCCGCACGGTCGTACACAGAGGTCCCCAGCCCCCTTTTCGATGTTCGTTTTCCCCGTCGCGACCAGTCCACCACCCAGCGCCTAGTTTGTTATCTGGTCGCCAGCCGAACGGCACCCGCATCCACGGAGGACTCGCCTGTTGCGCTTCCGTCGCATTCATTCGACTCTCCCAGCTTCAGAATAAAATCGCCTGTTCGCTGTTCCGACCGTCGCTTGTTTAATGCCTCAACGCCTGCTCCGCACGGTCAGTCGTCGTCGTCGTTATTGCCTGTGTTTATCGTCCGGAAGAAGAGCTCCCCCCTCTCAGGGAAGTAGTTGTTGCGCCGTGAGAGGAACGGAATGGCGGAGACAGGGCCTAAGCTAGGCCGCACTCGCGCATCTGCTGCTCGGATGGCCAAAGCAGATACCCTTGACGCCGGCATGGACAGGAAGCCCATCTCCCCGCCAGCGTCCAACTCGCCGCCCCCAAGCCATGGGATCAAGTCCAAGTCGGCACACAGCACAGCTCGATCCACCAGACAGCGCTCCCGGACCGGCTCTGAACCAGTCAATCCTGATGCCTTGGCTCGAGCGCTGCAGGACTTTGAAGATGCCGGCCGCCAGCGTGAGAGTACTCCGGGCAGTAGCCCAAGCCGGAAACGACAAAGGGTTTATGGTGACAGGTATGTCTCCAATTAGCAATTGTTTATGTTTCTCCATGCTTTGTCTTACTATGAAACCCTTGTTTACTTGAATCATTCTATTGTTTATCTCTAAATCCTTAATTACTAACGCGAATGCATACAGATTTATTCCTAATCGTGAAGGACAAGACCTGCAGGCTGGGTTCAGCCTGCTTCATGAAGATGGATGTCCATCAACACCTTCAAAGACAAAGAAAAAGTCAACGCACGGCGAAATCCATTCACAAAAAAGTAAGTGTTGACGCGTCTGCTTTGTTATGAAATAACACCCCAGCTCACCTTTGTGCGTGTCTAGCGGAGGAAGCCAACCGAACATACTCCAGAGTGCTGCGTAATGAGTTCTTTGGCTCTACAATCCCCCAACCTGATATACATTCCCTCTCCCCTAACCCACTACCCGGACGCTCGAGTGCTTCTCGGGATTTCGCCTCTAATACCCCTCAATCACATAAACTTGCTATGTCCCTGCCCCCGGCTAGCATCACACCTTCAACCCCTAGCAAGAATCTACTCTCCTACACGTCTCCCAGGAATGCGTCCGGAAACCCTACCCCTTCTCGAACACCCCGAAGCCAGCATGGCCCTAATTTCGACGCCCGCTCCGAGTTGTACAGCCTTTCTCCCATCCGATTTGACAGCCAACAAATTCTCCAGAGTCTCCGAAAACAGCCCAGATATGTGAACAAGGTGCCCTTTAAGGTCCTCGATGCTCCTGATCTCACAGACGACTTCTACCTAAACCTCGTAGACTGGGGTAGCAGTAATATATTGGGAGTTGGACTAGGATCCGCTGTCTACATGTGGGATTCTATCAATGGTCATGTTACAAAACTTTGTCAACTAGATGACGATACAGTGACCAGTGTCAATTGGATCCAACGGGTAAGCTTCCTTTCTTTACATCCTTGTTAAATATACATTTTTTTTAACATCTCAAAAGGGAACTCACCTTGCCATCGGGACGGGCAAAGGTCTCGTACAGATTTGGGATGCAGAGCATTGTCGCCGGTTACGGACAATGACAGGACATACCCTACGCGTTGGAGCGCTAGCTTGGAATGACCATATTCTCACGTCTGGGTCCCGTGATCGCCTAATATTTCACCGAGATGTTCGTTCTCCCGACCAATATCTCCGCCGACTTGCAGGGCATAAACAAGAGGTTTGTGGCCTCAAGTGGAACACAGATGACGGTCAACTAGCATCTGGAGGGAATGACAATAAACTAATCGTTTGGGATAAACTAAACGAAGCACCCTTGTACCGATTTACAGACCATACTGCTGCCGTCAAGGCCATCGCATGGTCTCCTCATCAGCACTCACTCTTAGCCTCCGGAGGAGGTACAGCGGATCGCACAATAAAGTTCTGGAACACGTCAACAGGCTCCCTGATAAAAGAAGTCGATACTGGAAGCCAGGTTTGCAATTTGGCATGGTCTAAGAATTCAGACGAGATTGTCAGCACTCATGGGTACAGCCAGAATCAGATCGTTGTTTGGAAATACCCACGAATGGAACAGGTCGTCTCGCTAACTGGCCACACTTTCCGAGTCCTCTATCTCGCTATGAGTCCAGATGGCCAGACAGTTGTAACTGGTGCTGGCGACGAGACTCTGCGGTTTTGGAAGATATTCAATAAGAAGGGCCTCAAACAACAGGACCGTGAAAGCAAACTGGCTAGCTACACGACAATACGGTAGAAGTACACCGCGATACTCGGAAGTATACCACTTGGACCCAGATTCTTTATTAATTGTTTCCTTTCTTACAACCGAGCATACCTGGTCTTCAGCCCTTTTCTTTTGCGCATTTAATGAGCCACACGTGACGATCTAACATGGGAACAACGTTCAGCAATTATTTATTTTTTCCCTCATCAGCATTGCACTTTAGGAACGGTGTTCTGTACTCTTTTCAGCATGGGTTTAAAAAAAGAGGCGGGCTGGGTGGAATTGTCTAACTGTATGGTGTTTTATGGAGGGCGTTTGGCAGTCAGGTCATTGCTACCTGTGTCTTTTTATGTCTTATTTTGTTTGGGATCTCTGGGAGGGTATCTAGCTAGGAGAAAAGGCCAAGGGCGCCAGAAGAGCATAGTTCACAACAATAATATGCCTTTAAGATTTGATTATCTGTACAGTTAACTGGAGAGCACCCGTAAACGTAGAAAACTCGGTGTGTGCAAGAGACAGACGCAACCCATGAAACCAAAAGCACTATAACTAGCGTCAAACGGTCCTGTTGCCCTGTTGTCACAAATGGGTCTGTAATTTCAAAGTCATTCTCCTTGGTGATAGCCATATAAACGTCCGAAAAGCTCTGCTTCCATTCTCTCTGCGGCGAAAGGCCCCTCGCAAATCTCGCCCATCATATCCGTACCAGGCGGGAAATCAAATTCAAACCCTAAATCAACCGCACCACGAACGTTGCAGAGCACCGCCTGCTCAAAATGCCAACGTAATAAATCATCATACACTCTATGGGCATCTTCTGGCTGGCGGCAGACCTGGTTGAGAGCAGCTCCATGGTAATCGGTCATGTTCGCAGAAAAGCTGTAAATACGATAGTGGTCATCGGGATTGATAGCAAAGTCATAGCCGTCCCACATCTGGTGGATGTCTGTCCGGAGCAGAAGACCGTTGTTAGGAGAGTTGATTCCCCGGCTGTCCGTGATGATGTTGGAAAACCCGCAGCTTGAGAATATCATCGATAGCGCAAGCGGAAAGACATGGGCAGCCTCAAACCCGCGCCACACACCTACACCAGAACTACGATTCACTTTGCCAGTGACGACACAGCGTCCGTCTCGCTGTCTAACGTCGTGTCGGAAAGATTCATCTCTATCTGTATCGAAAACTGAAAGCGTCCGTCGGTAATATTGCTCATCACTGAGGGTAACATCCTTGCCTGGTATAGTTGAAGATAAAATGTAGTGGCCAGGCTCAATAAGGTCGTCTGTCACAGGCAAAGGAGTCGTTGAGCCGCGTTGAGATATGTCAAATCCACCGCTTGGTCGGAATGCAATGTTGAGAATGTTGAAGAGCTGACGTCGGGTCAGGTTTCTTGCTGCGTGTAGACCTCCCTGGACAACACCAGGACGGGACGCGAATTCAATCCAAAGGTTTCGGTTGTCCATGTTGTGGTTGACTGGTAACCGCCATGTCCGGAGTAGCCGACTCTGGTATGTTTAAGTATCTCTTGCTGGGTATGCTGAATCCTCAGTAGCGAGGTTGTAATCTGCCAGGTGAGTTGCTAAAAGATGAGTAGTTATACATAGGATGTTCAGTGAAGAAGAGAACAAATATAACAACTATTCAGTTATTCACTTTACCAACATGACGCGCATTCACTTGGCAAAAAATAGAAAATGGAGTTTCTTAGATTATCTGTACGTAGATTCATACTTTGTAAGGAGCCATATATTCACACTCCCTCTGATTCCGTAACATATGTTGAGACTCGTATTCGAATGGCGGGACGCAAGGTATATACAATGTGGAAAACTCATCAACTAACTGTCAAAGTCTGCCGCTACACCAAAAGGAGTGAGCCCACACTAATGGTAGGCAGAGCTGAAGTTTGACACTAACTATAAATAATTGAAAATTTACTTTCCAATATTTTGTCGATGATACTCTGTAACTATTCTAGTTCGTTGAGGGCTAAGATTACTGGAATCTCATCTCTCTTCGCACTGCCTTCACACGCTGGATGGATTGAAAGTACCAACATGCTCCTTTTATTTTGAGGAGGCCCTTAAAAAACTGCACTGACTGACTGCTATCATAGAATCATTCCAAGTCCGGTTCATGCTTCTTCAGGAAGGAAACCAAATCTCTAAGCATATTTCCCGAGTACCAATGCCCAAGACCAGCGTATTCCTCCCAAGTAACGTCTACTCCCATCTCACTGAGGCATCTTCGTGCCTCCCTCCCATAGCCAACTGGTACTTTTTCATCCTCAGTTCCGTGAGCAAGGAATAAGGGAATATGCTGAAACGGCAGCTCACGAGGCGGCTGCTCTGGCAAGCTCAGCTCAAGCACCTCCGCCAATGATATCATGGCTTGTACAGGGGGTGGTATGTCATCTTCATCTTTCGCTTGCTCGATAAAGGGATTATCTTCATCAGGCTCTGATGCATGCACTCCATGTACAAAATCCTCCATCTGGTGCCGGAATGGCAACCAGCCACACATCCCAATCGCAGCACCTAACGGGTCCCCATCCCATAGAAGCAATGCCACGAGAGAAGCAGCACAGCCTTGACTGAGGCCCCCAAGGATAACGCGTTTTGCATCACCTCCAAGCAAGGAAATCTCCTCTCTCAATAACTTGTGAAGATATAGGCTCGTCTCTCTTAAGCCATCTGCTGGAAGATATTCACGACGTTGCTTCTCCTGTGGAGTGGTTGCAGGAGGGGTATCTGTGCTCAGTGGCCAATTATCAAACCACTGACTGATAATACTCCGGTTGTAGGCAGCGGCACGACGCTTAGATGCGGTTGGAAAGACAAATTTGGCATGAGGGAAGGCGGATACAAGGGTGTGTTCGGCACCTGTGCTGGTCTGGTCGAGGTGGGAGATCGAAGAGGATAGGAGAATAGGGCCAAATTTAGCAGCATTGGATCCCCGACCATGAAGGAGGATTATAGTACATTGGTGGGAATCTCGTGGTTGGATAACGAGTGGTTCTGGAAAGTTAGAAGTCATAGTTATGAAATGTTGCCTGGCAAGAAAGTAAGTAAAATGTAGCTTAGGTAGCTGTCAGAGAGTATTAAGTAACAATTCGTAGCCAAGATGTTTGCTTGGTTAGTTAGTTAGAAGGTGAGACAAGAACCTAGTTAACTAACTACTAACTAGTTAACTAGTGAACTAATACAAAAGCAACAAGCAAACAATAAGCAAACCATGTAATAGAACTTGCTTTTCTAAATTCTCAGGGTAGTAAAGTGAATATAGCTAGCTGGATAATTATTCAATGAGATTACCTAGCTATGTACTTATTTAATGAGTAGATAACTATGGCTTTCACTCTAGAATCATGACAATATTCTACCTACTGCATGGGTTGGATAGTTACTATTTTAATATATATTCAATGTACGACTAACTAAGAAATATATAGAAGAAATATCATTTGAATCATTTTTTTTCATTATAAATTAGTTGACTGGATAGTTAAACTGGATAATTAACTTGCCAATCTCGGTCCCCTCGTGCTCGACTTCGAAGATATATAAAGCTAGTAAAAAGATAGAGGCCTAGATATGCCACTCTGTAGCAAATTCGGTACGTCTCGAAGTCCGTTACTATGTCTTACAACCCTACCCTTCCGATTGACATCTTTGTCTGTTACGGGAAACAGCGGGATGCACTTTATCCGCACTGGATGTTGATGGGTTGTTCGCGAAATGCGGCTCTTGCGACTTGGTATCACTCCACCGGCGGGCCGACCCGCCATAAACCTTATTCGGTGATGATCCAGGCTGGCAAGCCAGTCGACAGCCCTGGCATCCAGTCCCGGGAGTATCTGGGCAGTGTCGATCCAAAGCATAGCAGGAAGATCACAGCCGCTGCCAATCGTGTGCCTGCTCAGCAGTGTCAAAAGTACGTTGTTGCTCTTATCGCGGAACTGGAGAAACAGCAACTCTTGCCCTGTGGGCATGCTGCGAGGTTAAACCGTGAAGTCCAGATGTCTGCCACTGCTCGTGACTACGCACAGCAGCATCCAGTGCCACCACCGCAGATTGTTTCTCCGAATTCAAGTGCTCAGCCAATCTCGTCGGTTGGGTTAGGGAAATCTAGGCCACCTCATTTGAGAATCCAATTTTCCTATAAGTAATTCGTGCACTGGAACTAACTATTCCATGATTAGGTTACCAAAGACCTACTCCATAATCCGTATAGAGATGATAATTCCATTACATCAACTAATTAATCAGCCATGTAGCAAATGTAATAGATATGGATGGCTCGATGATGAAGAGAGCGGAGACATGCAATACGTGCAATTGAATGGCCGACAAAGCCAAAAACAGCTCTAAATAATAACTATCGTCTGACATTCAGTTCAACTTCATATGAGAGTGAGTAGGCGAATACTTCGTAATACCATCCATCATGACCTCAGCTACTTAGTGACCGGCCTGAAATCAGCCGCGGCATGTTCAGCCAAACAGAAGGGCCAAGTAGTTCATGGTGTTTCTAAGGCTTGATAGTGAGAATATAATATGTATTAGGGGTGATCTCACATTCAAGTTGGCATGGAGGTGGAGCAGGGTCTGGGCTTACTTGCTGTCGCATTGAGTGGAGACGAAATATAACTACATGGGGGAACAAGCATTGAGATCGTGACCCACTCATTTTGATGCTGCATCTCGTATCTTGGTTAAGGATCGGACGAAATTCCAACCATGCCTATATCGGCTTCTAGTTTTTGATAGCTGTCATGTTCTTCTTGCTGGTGAGCCAGGGAACTTAGTTGAGGTATTACCGAATGCTCAAGTGTAGAGTTATACTGAAATTGGTAGGGACAAGACAGTTTAACAAAAAAGAAAAAAAAAACACCCCATCCCTGGTAAACTGTATCTTTGGACATAAAAGCGAGTAAAGAAACTATAAATAAATAAATAATACATCGAGAAGTATACAAAGCTGGGAAGAAACAAACGAGCAAGAGCAGAGCTGTTCTGCTTTAAAGAGCCAATAGCTGGGCTGGCTCTTCCTCTAGAAGAACTTGCATCTTCTCTAAGAAGGCCATAGCACGAGCCTCCTCGTGTTCAGGAATCGTCAGGCTAAATATACTTGTGTTCCTGTCCTCCTCTACCTCAGCTGTCCTGGTCACATTTCTCTTTGAAGCTGGTGACCGGCCAGTCAGAACGTCGATGATATCATCCGTGGATTTGCGCAGGCTTTGCTGACTCTCTTCAGAGCTAGAATAGAACTCAGAGGGAGAAACAATCTCTGGGAGGTAGTCTCCTCGGGAGAAAGCCATCTGTTTAGAAGCAGAGGGCTTGTGGCCTAGGATCTCGTCAAAGAGAGCTGATGACCGCTGCTTCTCGCTGGGCTTAACTGGTAGGTTCTCATTCGCGATATCAGCTGCGCGAGAAACGAAAGTCGCCAGTGGTATCTCAACTCCCACAGAAGATTGGATCCGTCGTCGAACAGAGATGAGTTTGGAGAAAGACACGGGGACTGCAATTTTGGTTTCAAACACAGACCCTGCCGCCTCTTCTGATCTTGACCCTGCAGTCTTCTCCTCCACCTGTATCTGCTCCTCCTGGGGTGCTGGAGCAGCTGGCGATGGGGCCTGAGGAGCAGCTATCTTGATATTGCTTAGGTCTAGTCGCGAGTTCTTTGCAAGCTGTGAGGCCAGGTCGGCAGGGTAGCCGGCCGCAATTGTACCCAGGTAGGATAGCACGTCTCCTTTTAGTATTCGGCCATTCGGTCCCGTAGCAGTAATCTTAGACACATCATTTGATGGGATATTGTTTTGTTTGAGCAATTGCGCAACGGAGGGATAAAGCGGATAAGATAAGTTCGGTTGTTGAGCAGCGGTTTGGACACCTGTAGCAGACCGTCAGTCAGCCAGTGTCCCCCATATCTCCTCTCGGTGGTCTCCTGCCTGCCACCCGCCACATAATCAAGAAAATGATAACTTACATCTCACAGAATAGTAGCCATTGCTGGTCTGGCGAAGTGGTGACCGTCTCGCAAGGGCCGAAAGATTTGCCATGGCAGTTTCGCGTGCTTACCGGCGACTCGGGTCTGCTGGCGGGAGGCTCTATGCCCAGGATCTTCGGCTATGAAGGGATAGATTGGGGTTTATCTAGCAAGCAATCCTCATTCCAGACTGCTGTTGCTGTCCTGCTGCCGCTGCTCCTCGTTAGTGAAGTTGTTGAGCGTGAGACGTCTTTTGGTGCCTCGGAAGGATGGTTTTGGCTTGGCGTTGTTGAGCTGCGAAAAAAAAAGAACAAAAAACACCTGATTTTAACATCTTGAGCGCTATCACCACTGCGTCAATTACTAGGTATTGAAATAAAATATCCACAAAAGAGGAGGAGAAGAGGGACAGAAGCGAAGGAGAGTTGGTTCTCTGGAGGTAAGCGAGAAACGCCTACCAATGGCTCCGAGGACTCATTGCAATGATTATGCTGCACAATATTGTTTGTTAGCCACTGATTAAACTGCTCGCTGACCACATGCAAGCGAATAGTGATGCTCTCGCCATGCTCTTCCGGTCGATAACAGTTCAATTGGCCCTATCGCGGCAAATACGGCCCCTAAATCCTTGTTCCACTTCGCCATATTCGTTGTATAGGCAGGCAGCTCGGCAGTCACGGTACTATGCCACAAGCCAACCACCCCCTCTACGGACAAATGCCGTCAAATCAAAAGTGAAAGCTCCAGAGTTATCTTTAAAATCTCCTTCTCCGTCATCGGGAGCGCCCAATAAATTTCGCAGATTCGAATGGGAGGTTTCTAAACATCAGGGGCCTGTCTGCCTGTTCCGCGCCCCCAAACAACGATCTTATATCATCGGTGCATACACTACAGCTTCGTTCTGCTACATGTATGCAGGCTATAACTTCTATACCTCTTCCATAGATCCGGTATTAAAGATCCAATGGTGGCAAGAACTGCTTTTTGGCGGTATTTGTTTCGTCATGGCGATCATGGGTACCGTCTTCTTCCGCCGTGGCTTCGGTTTGATTTCCCAGATCAACGCTGCAAACCTCAACGGTAAAACGCAGATATCAATAAAGGTCAGGCGTATGCTTCCGTTTATGAAACAACGCGAGCTTACCCTGGCGCCTTCGGAGCTCTCTATTTCACAGAAAGTAACCGTGAGTGAAACGGAGCTTACCAAGGCCGGCTGGTCGGAGTCGCAGCAGCGATTTGCGCGCCAGCGGGCTCTGGATAATACTCCCTTCTTCAAGATGCCAGTTCAGAAGACGAGTTTGGCCATTTTCAGGGCTTTTTCGAATGCCCGGCGTTTATTTACCCAGGAGCATTTTGTTTATGTCAACATAAAGGGGCAGAAGAGTACATTGCGTCTGGATGCCCTTGGCTCTTTTTCTCCCGAGTTCCATATGCTGCAAAAGGCAGTTGTGGAGGTAGTATAAAATTGCTTCGTGGCGATTCAGACTACTTAATCTATCATGTATTATACCTGTTGGGCTTTCAATGTACTTCAGCCGATTTGAACTTGTATCATTATGCTGGTCGGTGTTCTGGGATTCTTCGGAGGTGAAACTCTTGGACGCATTTGAACGCTATCTACTAGGGGCATAAACGTGGAGGAGGGTTACATATGACATAAATATACAATAAACATGGCAAGCGTCAATAAAGTAAACCAAGGAGCATATGAGCTGTGATTGAATGTTGGGCCAGTAACCGAGTCGACATGGGGTCGTGGAGACATGCAGTTCGAAATTACCGGTATTTGCGTAGCTACGAATAGTTAGACACTAACTTTCAAAATCGAAGGGAACAATCAAACTTACATCCAGCGTCAATGCCTTGCTGCTATTCGCGGCCTGATCTCGGTAAATACCAACAAGAGCCTCACTAACTTGGAATAGCCCAGTCTTCAGACTGATAACGATAAACTGCATTCCAGGCGCGGCATGGTCACGAATGTAATTAGCAATCCTGGAGACGTTAGCGTTATCAAGAGCGGCATCTACTTCGTCCAGAACGAAGAATGGAGAAGGTTGGTAAGAATGAATGGCGAAGAGTAAGGCTAGTGCAGCCATCGTTTTCTCTCCTCCAGAGAGGTGTTCCATGTCACGGAATCGCTTCAGGGGTGGCATTGCATGGTATTTGATGCCATCCAGATAAGGCTCCTCAGAATCTTCAATATCCAGGTATCTATTTATTACATATGTTAGCATGTACAGTCTAGGAAGTTGTGTTCATGTAATAAGTGTTAGCTGCACTCACGCTTTTCCACCCATTGGATAACTCTCTGTCCGAGTGAGATCACGATAGATCGGCTCTATCTGTTCTGATATATGGGTGAACGCTTTGTTGAACAGTTCAGACCGTCGCTGCATAACTTCTTCAAAGTCGTCTTTGGCTTTCCTAGCACGTTTGCGGGAGTCTTCAAAGTCCTTCTCGATAGTACGTAATTTACTCTCAACGCCTTCGAGACGTTCAATGGCACGCATGTTCGGCGCCATTTTATCCAATTCATTATTAAGTGATCTCACGCGTTCTTGAAGCTCTTCCTCAAGTTTATCATCAGATTCCTGCGGTTGAAAATGTCAGTTAAGTCTGTTGGATCCTTTTCGATAAAACGTAAGGCATACCTCTTTCAAAGAGTCACCCAATGATAAAAAATCAACCTCTATACCAAAGTCTTGTACAACATGGTTTTGTGGAACTGGATTATTCGAATCTTCATCAATCTCCATTGCATCAGGATCAGGCTGCACTAGCTCGTCGATGGGGAGTTTATCAAGTGGTTCTGAATCCGCTGTCAAAGGTATGTTGATGTCTTCCAGTTTGCAACGCCTTATCAATGTGTATCGACCGGAAGAATGACGCTGCACATCAGCTTCTAGCCCACTGATAGTCTTCAGGGTAGCCTCCACATTCTTGCTGCGTCGCTGAAGCTCTCGCCGTTGCTGTGCGAGCTTCTCAGACGATTCAGAAAATAGATTTTGTTGATCCTGGAGGGTCTCGTTCAACGATGCCAATTCGTCGTTGAGTTCATCTAGTCGTTCTTGAATGGATCCACGTTCGGCTTCAAGCTCAGCAATCATAGCCTCATCCTTTTGTGACTGCGTCTTGAGGCTATCTATCCGCATTTCAGTGGCCTGGAGTCTCTGCTTCTCAAAGCTAAGCTGGTTTTCAATCTTTGTCTTTTGAGTAGTAAACTGTAGCTTCTTTTCAGCAGCCTCCTCTTGAAGAGAGCCCTGTTGGGCGTCATATTCCTGAATATTCTTGTATCCCAGCCTCTTGCAGAAGTCACGGTAGACCTTATCTTCAACCTCGGTGACAGAGCTTTGGATCTCTTCAATTGATTGATCGAGGC